ATCTTTGCAACAATACGAATCTACCATAAAAATATAAAAATAGCGTTTTTCCGATTCTTTTAGAAAAAATTATCTTTAGCTCTTTCTTACTTTTCTCGGTTACATTTTGTAAGGGAAAAGTCTAAAAACATTCTCAGACATGTCCAACTGCACTACGAACGTGTCAAAATTTTCTCAGATTTTTCGCAAGGCGTTAAATAAGGAAAAACCTAAAAAAACTGATTTTTCGAGTTTTCCCGATTACTAAAACCTCCCCCCCTCCCCCCTGGTTGAGATGTAGGGTTAAAAATTGGAGTGAATGTTTCTTTTTTGATATGCTTTCGAATGGCGCAAATGGCGCTTCATTTGGCTCAAGGGCACATTTGACCCCTTTATCCAGCTAGGCCCTTTAGCTTCAATCCGTTGGTTTTGTGGAGAATTATCAGGTGAAATGTTTATCGGGCGTAAAGTGGATACTTTGTGTTTACGACCGCTCGGATGATATTTTGAGGGTACTGTTTGCTGTACAAGGCAGGGACTGGAAATATGGGATAGACATGGATAGTAAATGCTTGTCCATTGACAATACCCAACGGATTGGAACGAATACACAAAAAATTTTGGACTTATAAAGTTCAAAAGACGAATGTGACACAAAGATTCTCGAGATATTAGTCTACAGACTTTATCATCCCGCGTTGAATAAAAAATATTCTTTGCAGCGTATTTATGTTAGACAGAGATAAGATGCAATCAGTTAGCTATTATCTCTGCTATTTCCTCTTGAGCTGGAAGACATGGCATGGTGAAGGGTTTTAGACGAGGGGGGACATCCGGTAAGACGCAAGAGAGGAAGAAGCTGCTGGTCTTTAGTGCCATGTAAGCATACCCATATCTATCTATAATACTATTTTCTACTGGAGGCACAGTGTTGCTATCAAAAATCCTTCAAGACTCGTTTCCCCTCGTTTTCTCTCTCCTATTGAGCTTTCGTCATGATACTCATGATCAGTAGAGAGAGAAGGCGAAACATCAATCTGTCGCCCTTGCTCCTGAAGCGAAGATCCGAACGACGCTCGGCCAACTGACGAGGACTGATGTTTCTCTCTCTACTAAGTCGAACTTGAGCCGAACTCGGATACGGCGCGATAGTATACGTAAGTAGAAGGGGTGATTCTCGTTGGCTCCCTCAAACTGGCTACTATGCTTCCAGCTACTGATTCTCTTCTTTCAATCGAAACCAATGTAGCCGAGACAAATGCATTTTAATGAATATTGATAATAAGGATCATTGATGTGATTAAATCTAAACATACGTATATCATAATTTGCGTGAACTGAAATAATGTTCTAGCTTTTGGGAACCAACATATGTGTACACGTAATTTTATTAGTATATAAAACAATTACATAAAACAGGGAATCAGTAGCTGGGGAAGCATTCTAAGAGCAGATTCAGATAGCCGTAGAGTCGTCGGAAAGGTCCGAACAACGCGTTCGGAGGGACCATCTCTGTCTCAAAGAGATAAGAGATAACCCCTGCTGCAAAAGTGCAATTTGTAACACTGTAAGACTGGCCTCACTTCCGACCGATATCAGATGTTTACCACAGCTTATTGGCCTATTCCCAGTGCGTTTTCCGCTCCAAGATTCCGCTCAATCCCGGCGAGCGAAATTTTAGTACCCTAGAGCGGAAATACGGACAGCAAATACCGTAGTTAAGGAAAATGGAGGTATAGGAAAAAGCGTGTAAAAGAAAAAATGTGTGGGTGATATTCAGCGTGCCCGGTCTGTTATGCTCGAGTAAGACCCCTGCTAAAACGAGAGGGGAAAAGACCGCGAAGAGCAGGAAAGAGAGCAGGAGAAAGATCAAACAAAGCGGAAACCTGGAGATCGGCAAACCTCGGGAGTGGTAAACCTCGGGAGCGGCAAACCTTGGCATTTGCTTTTCTTTCTCACTCTGCGCGCGAGCATTCGCGTGCGCAGTTTGACGATTAGTCAGGTCCTTCAGTGTATCTATGTATATTCAGATCTATGTGTATGCTCTAAGAATACACATTTCAAAGCGGAATAACTTTTTAATATTAGACTAAACAATTTAACACTAGAAAGACTGAAACTTAGTATATACCTATATTGCCCAAAGCAGTCAAAATGACTGCATTGTGAAAGAATAATGTGTAAAGAAATTTGTCTAAAATTAA